CGGCGGCGGCTGGGGCGCGGGGGTCGGCGCCGCGGCCTGCACGGGCCCCGCCGCCCCTGCTAGCGGCTGTCCGGGGTCTGAGGAGGCACGCCCGCGGACGCAGGGGCCGCCGTCGGCGGCGTCGGGCGCCGCGGCGCCGTGCATGGGCGCGCTCAGTGCCGCCGCCGGTCGGCGTCCCTGCGCTGACAGAGACGCACGCGGAGGAGGCGGCGGGAGCACAGGCGGCGCAGTGTCCACCTCTCGCGCTGAGGCGGCGCCAAACACGGCCAAAGCGCCCTGCGCCGCCGCACCTCCCGCCCCGCCGCTGCCGCCGCCATCGGCGCCGCCGTCGCCGCAGCGGGCCGGCGGCGGCGCCGCGCTCGCCGCGGGTGGCAGCTTGCGGTGGCACTGCTGCTGCGCCCCCTCAGAGGAGGGGAGGAACGTGGACGCGTACAGCGCGTCCCGCCACGCCGCGCCACCCAGGGCCGCCGCTGCCGCGGCGGCGGCGGCGCCCTCGTCGTGACGGTGGTGGTGGGGCGCGCCGCCCTGGCCCGGCCCGGCACCCCCGGGCGCCGCGCCGGCCGCCGCCGCGGCCGCGGCGGAGTGCATCGCCGCCGCCGCGATGCCCTGCTGCAGCTGGTGCTGCTGTAGCAGCAGAGCGGCAAACGGCGCGGCGCCGTAGAAGGCCGCGGCCCCGGCCCCAGGCGGGGGCGCGGGCGCGGGCGCGGCGGCGCTGCTGCCCATCGAGAGCGCGTTCCACGCAGGGTGCGAATAGGGGCCTGCCGCGGCGCCGCCCAGGAGGTGGCCCAAACCAAACAAGTCGGGCCCCCAGGGTCCAGCAGCCGCGGCCGCGGCCATGGCCGCGCGCCGCTGCTCCTGCTCCCGTGCCTGCTGCTGTAGCTGATGCTGCTCCTGCTCCTGCTGGCGCTGCTGTAGCTGCAGCTCGGCCGCGGCGTCGGCCATGCCAGCCCGCTCGAAGCCCTCATTGACCGGCTCAACGCCAGCCGCACACGCATCTGCGTCCGTCCCCCCTGCTGCCGGCGCGGCCGCGGCTGCGTCCGCGCCCGCCGAGGGCGGCTGGGCGCCGCCCGCCGTCGGCTGGGCGGCCGCGGCCTGCGCCCCTGCGCGTGTGAAGCTGCTGCCGCCGCTGCCGCTCCCGCCCCCTCCGGCCTTGCTGCGCGGCCCGTTGATGGCATGCGCGGCGGCATCCTGCTCCTGCTGCTGCTGCTGCTGCTGCTCCTCTTGCGGTAGCGGCGCAGCCGCGTTCTGTGGCTGCGAACGCGCGCCGCCAGTGCCGGTGTCGCTCGCCTTGTTTGAGCCCGAGGTTGGCCCAGTGCCCGCGCCGCTGACACCCGCGCCCGGCAGCTTCCCAGCACCTGCCGCGACCCGCTCCCCGCCACCCGCCGCGGCCGCGGCCGCGCGCTCGTTGGCTGTCGGGGCCTGCCGCTGCGCATCCGCGCCGTCCGCCACCGCGCCCGCCGAGCCGCCGCCGCCGCCGTCGCCGTCCCCGCGCTGCGGATGCTGCGGCTGCTGCTGCGGCTGCAGGCGCGTCCGGGCAGCGGCGGCGCGCGCGGCGCCACGTGCCACCCACGGGTCTGAAATAACGGCGATGGCGGGCCCGCCCGACCCTTGAGGGGCAGGCGGCAAGAAGGGGCCGCCGGCCGCTGCCGCGGCCAGCAGCGGCGGCGCCGCTGCCCCGGTGGGGGCGGGCAAGGCCAATGGCACCGGCAGCGGCAGGGGAAGGGGCAGGGACGGGGTGTCGCCCTGGGGCCCCAGGAACGGCAGCAGCGCCTGCGGCGCGCGCTGCCTGATGCGCCGCGACACCTGCTCCCCCGCCGCCTCGATCACCGCCGTCGCGGCGGCCGCCGCGGCCGCCGCCGCCGCCGCCGCGACCGCCTCGACTGCCGCTTGGTCCGAGGCGGAGGGCGCGGGCACGCCGGGTGCGGCCCACTGGCTGCGCGCCCACGCCGCCATGTTGTGCGCGATCTGCTTTGCAATGTCTCCAGCCAGGCCGTCCCCCGCGCCCGCGCCCGCACTGGCCGCGCCGGCGGCAGGGCTGGGGGCGGCGCTGCTGACGTGGCGGTGGTGGCGGTGGTGGCGCCGCTCGTGCGCCTGTTCCTGGGGCGGCGCGGCGAGGCGCGCGTGGTGGTGGTGCTGGTGAT